CAATAGATTAATGTTTTGCAACAGGAACAGTCCAGTTCGATATGATGGAGTGATATTTTGCAAATGAACGATTTACGATATGGTTTTCCGATTTTACTGAGTAACGCTGTAATTTCGTTAAGTACAATTTGGTTGCCCTCACCTGTGTTCTCGTTCTCTACAATGATAGTAAAGTATTTTATTTTCCCTATGTTTACCTTTTAGCATCAAGATTATAATAACTCCAAAAAATTTCTATCTTCGAAAATTCAATTTAGTTGTTACCCATCATGACATAAATATAGAAATCGATCAATGTTAAACAGCCATTAGAAACCTGGAATCACTGGATAGCCGTTTCATCGTGCTATGATATTAATCAGCAGTGAGCATCCATGACTCCTGTACCTCGGAAGATTCGAACCCAGGACATTCATTCTTGATTGAAGTTAGACATTAACACTGCTAGAAATCCGGCTCAGTGGTCCGGAGGTTAGGTGTTCGCTCACAAGGCCGGGGGTCTTCGGTTGGAATCCTGTGAGGTGCAAGAGTCGTCGTGGATGCGCACTGTTGATGAGTCCTATAACAGTACAAAACGGCTGTCCAGTGCTTCCAGTTTTCTAATGGTGCTCTAAGGATGATCGATTCATTATTTCAAAGAGTAATCTCCACAATCCTATAATATAAATATAAAAGTTTGTTAAATTTTTTCTTTTCATGGCCTCCTCAAGTCATCTTATTTCTGAAAATAGGGAAGTGTTTCTTCTATAAACCTGAAAAAGCATGTCTTAAAATTCAACTATATGTCAGAACTTTGCTGTACAAACTAGATTCATATTCTGTCTGAGTTGTGATGTGAAAATCGCTAAATTAATCGTCAAAATATTAGAGAACTGGAGTGAGAAGTGTCACCCTTAAGTTTTTTCAAAACCTTACTATTCCTAATAACTCTACATTCAACTTAGGTTACATTGTTTTCATTTATTCCTACCAAGAGTGAACCAGTTTTATCTCTTTCCAGTTTATTGTACAGATCATGTCTTGCCTAGTTTCCATTTTTGAAAACACTCGAAAGTATTCGGGCATTAGCTCATCCTAAGTTGAGTTTTCTAAATATTATTGAAAAAAGTATTCACGCGTAGTCTGAAAGCCCAGGACAGACAGAGTTGGTTGGATGAAACTGGTGAGTGGCCTTGTAGTGAACGAGAACACAGATGGGGCAACCGAATTGTATCTGACGAAAATTACAGAGTTACTCAGTAAAATAGGAAAACCATATCGTAATTCGTTAATTTGCAAAATATCAGTCCATCGTATCGAACTGGACTGTTCCTGTTGCAAAACATCAATCCATTGTCACTATTCATGTGTTTCATACAAATTCCATTGTGTTCCAACTCTTCTTCCTTTCTCTTGATCTTCCCCCATCTTCTGCTGCCAGACATTACGTTGACACTCACGTCATATACTACTTATAAGTAGCTCACACCACACTGGGTTTGAATCCTGCGAGTAGCATGAGTCGTGAATGAGCACTGCTGATGAGTCCCATACCAGGAGGAAACAAACGGTCATCCAGTCTTACAACGATGATTTTATTGTGTGTGAAGTTAAGAAGTCAAATTATCGGGTTTCTAGCCACTTACTTTAATTTTTTAGTAAATGGTGAACTAACATTGTTGAAGATAGTTACTGCAGAGCCACACTCGGCGACGAAATAAAGGCATGGTGCTGTCCGATTTTACTTTTCATCAGTGAAATTTTTGTTTATCAATAAAAATACTACTATCTCATAATTGAATTACACTGAATTTCACTTTCACAACACTCGCGTAACAATATTTACACTGGCATCTTCAGTGCTGGATAGATAGATGCCAACTTAGCAGTCATAATGATTGCTTCAAATAAAACCGCAGTACTTATATACACATGTTAAAAATTACTTGTCAGACTTACATATGTCACGTTTCCAAAGTTATGACTTAACTGACAATGAAAATTCTTAAAAATAGCCTAATTATCTCGTTCTTTTTTTTCTTCATCTCTACAAATAAGAAATGACTACAGCTTTTTGTCAGTAATCTTTTCTCTTAGCCAAACAAAAAGGGCTTCACCTTTTTTTTTTTACCAAAAAATATATACAAGACAGATAGATATTTAAAACAATTTATGAATTATTGATAGTGTATATATATATCGTTTTTCTCATTTAAAAATTAAAAAAAAAGGAGAATATTTTTAGTTTCTAACTAACTAAATAAAACTCTGTTCAATCAAAAATCTTATCTAATCTCTCCTAGTTAAGTACAAAAAATTGGAATTCTATTTCAAGTGTTTTGTATATTTTTTTTAATCGGCTGATTGTGTTTGATAAATCACTCTATTTGACTTGAGCAAAAGTGACATAATTTTGTTTAAGATTGATAGTTGAATGTAGTTTTGGTCAGTTGTTTGATTTAGACAAGACATGCCCATCTGATTGTTTTTTTTACGTAATACAAAATCGAGCTACATTGCCTTGTGGTGCGTGCTACTTATAATAAGTAGTATATGACGCGAGTGTAAACGTAATGTCTGGCAGCAGAAGATGAGGGAAGATCAAGAAAGAAAAAGAGTGGGAACACAATGGAATTTGTATGAAATGCATGAATAGTGAAATGTCAGACAATGGATTGATGATGGATTGAAGATTTGCAAATTAACGGTTGACGATATGGTTTTCCTATTTTACTGAGTAACTCTGTAATTTTCGTTTAATACAATTCGGTTGTCCTCACCTGTGTTCTCCATCACTACAGCCTGTGATATATATGTATAGAGAGATTTTTTTCTTCGCCTAATTTCGTCCCGTATGACCCTTCTGCTTCATTGGTTCCCCAATTGACACAAAAAAAAATCCGTGACGAACGAAACATTACTTCACGCTACATTGTTCTCAAACAATTATCTCTTTCTGAATACAAGTCGTCTACTCTCTGGTAGCTTAGTTCACAATCAATTTTCTATGGTCTATATGAAGGTCATTGACGTCGCATGATATAACCAATCAATAAAGGATTGAATAATATTTCAACAACGATCACGATTGAAATTCATCATTCATGACCACTGATCAATAAAAGCATTAAAAACCCAAGGCTTGATTATTTTTCAGTCTGTAAGATATCGTGATTTTTAATTAAAAAATCATTCTACAGAAATGATGAAATGTTTTTAGAAAGATGCATGCTCTGTTTGCCTTTAAGATCATGAATCAATCATTGTTAGACTCCCATTAGAAACCTGGAAGTACTGGAAGGCAGTCAAGTCCTGGTCTGGGACTCTTTACCAGTGTGAATCCATGACCCCTGCTTATGGGAATTGAAACCAGGACCTTGGATGCCACCAGCTCAATTTGTCTGGAGGTTGAGCGTTAGCGTGCCAAATTGAAGGCCCTAGGTTCGATTTCCTCAAGCAGAGGTCGTGAATGCACACTTCTAAAGAGTCCAATTGTAGAACGTGATAGCCATCCAGTGCTTACACGTTTCAAATGATGGTCGAACAACAATTTCTATAACACTATTATGAATGTCATGCCCTATTTTTGTTTTCTACTGAACAAAATGATATTTTCGACACTGGTATTTGTCATATGATTTAATTTTACTTGGATTTAGAGACTTTTCAGTGGAAAAAATTATTTCGCTTTCCACATGATACTACTGACCTTTGTTCATTCAAAAGTATTTATTTACCTCTATGTTCTGTTCGTCGGTTGATGATTGAGACCCCACTAAGCATAGAAAGTGTATTCTACAAGCACCTAGAAAATATGAGGTTCACAAGCCCCCAAATCAAGTTTATTCATACGTGAATGAAACGTTTTTGGGAGAGTCAGAAAAATAGAGTACTAAAATAATACATCAACCAATAACAGTCAAGGATTTTCCAGGTGGGAAATATACTCTCAAGGTCAACTGATCAGCCTATGCTCGGAAGCGCAAAATTCAAAGTTAGAACCTTTATCAAGTGAGTTCTGGGGATCTGATGTCCCAACACCTCATGAAAATAATTTCGAAATCATAACTGAATGACACTCACAATAATAGCCGATTTCCCCAGTCTTTCAATACTGTTGAATGTATAGTTGGTTGATTCAAGTATAAGATTTTTACTTTTGGTATGAAAAACTGAAAATATCCCAAAATACAAAATACTTGCTAAATTAAATTTCCTTTCGACTACTTTCAGAAACTGATATGACGTTTTTCAAATCTAAATATTTATAATATCTAACACGACCAACAGAAAATATTTACCACTATGAAGTTCCAACAGCATACTTACATCAAAATCTCATCGTATGAAAACAAAAATGCTTTTCAAACCCTTTGTGGTGCGCGCTACTTATAAGTAGTATATGACGCGGGTGTAAACGTCATGTCTGGCAGCAGAAGATGGGGTAAGATCCAGAGAAAGGAAGAGTGGGAACACAATGGAACTTGTATGAAACGCATGAACAACAGTGAAATTTTCAGACAATGGGTTGATGATGGATTGACCTTTTGCGATATGGTTTTCCAATTTTACTGAGTAACTCTGTAATTTTCGATAAATACTGTTCGGTCGCCCTCATCTGTGTTCTCCTTCACTACACCTTCAATAAACAAGGCTACATAGTAAAAAAAACCAACAACGTTTCTAATATTGTAATTTTCAGAAATTAGAATATTTAACAACCCAACCTGGAGCCACTCTGGGGCTACTGCCTGTCCTAAGCCGGGATAAAGGAGGAGGATTGGGCATGGGGTTGACTGCCACATCTCATAAAAAAAACTAACTCGCAAGAATAAAACGATCTCATCATGTAAAAAATTTCAAAATTTGCTGAATGAAACGATTTATAAATATATCATTTCTATGATGAATAATTTTAATAACACTTGATATTTCTGTAAGGGAACAACAGTTTTTTACTCATACGGTTATTCAACATGACACACAGTAAAACACTTGTATAACTAACTTAATTTACTTACCGAAAAAAAGGTGATGCTGTTTGTTATAGTGTGTTGTATCCGAATATTTTTGAAATTAAAAAAAAACAATTTTCAACTTTTTTTTAAAAATTGTATAATGATTCTATTTTCATTTCAGTATTCATTGTTCAATATTTATATATACATGCATTTGAAAAGTACTGAGTAAATAATAAATACCTTAACACAGATTTCTACTTGTTTGATTGGTCCATTAATGTGAAGTATTACTAATTAATAATTGTCAAATTATCTTAATTTTCATTGGATGAAATTTCGGTTGTAAAATATTTTCAATAAATATCACTCTAGATTGATTGTTATTCTATGACTGCATCTGAAAATCTCATCATTTTGGAAATATTGTCTAACTCACATTACCTTGATGAGTTTGGTTAACTAACATAAGCTCTAATTGTTTTTGGGCTTCCAAAAATTACGTTTTAATAAAAATATTCAGAATTCAGAGTGTTCAATGAGAATGTTTTTCACATACCTGTAATATTATATAGCTTTGTTATTGAATAAAACAAACCGATTTCTGAGATAAAACTGGAACTCATCATTTGAGTTAAAGACAAGTTTTTTTTCTAGGATACGAAGTGTAAATTAGAGGGTTGCGTGAGATTCGTAGTAGGGCGCATCGATTCAGTGGCCTGTGACTGGACAACATTTTGGCCGAACCAGTCCAATATTCTATGAAATAAATCTTTCATTTAGTTCCTACTTCTAATACTTAGGTGAAGTCCATTGGGCGGAGGGAGTAGTAATGTGGTGCGTGCTACTTATAATAAGTAGTATATTACGCGAGTGAAAATGTAATGTCTGGCAGCAGAAGATGAGGGAAGATCAAGAAAGGAAGGAAGAGTGGGAATACAATGGAATTTGTATGAAACACATGAATAGTTAAATGTCAGACAATGGATTGATGAATTGGATTGAAGATTTGCAAACTAACCGTTTACGATATGGTTTTCCTATTTTACTGAGTAACTGTGTAATTTTCGTCAAATACAATTCGGTTGTCCTCACCTGTGTTCTCCTTCACTACAGTAAGATTTTAATTCATGCAATCGTTCACGCAGACAAACATGAGAACGTAAAACATGAAAGCTTAGGCAAGTGAATTGGAGAAGTTGAATGATCTAAATAAATTCAATGAGGTATGATGATCAAGTAAGTATCTATGGTCAGAAAAAAATATAAGCCAGACATGAGATAAGCAATGTAAGCAGGCATATACACTTTTAGAAAAAAAAACAACTAAGTTTGTAGTGAAGGAGAACACAGGTGAGGGCAACCGAATTGTATTTAACGAAAATTACAGTGTTACTCAGTAAAATCGGAAAACCATATCGTTAATCGTTAATTTGCATAATATCAGTTCATCATATCGAACTGGACTGTTCCTGCTGCAAAACATCAATCCATTGTCACTATTCATGCGTTTCATACAAATTCCATTGTGTTCTTCTAACTCTTCCTTTCTTGATCTTCCCCCCATCTTCTGCTGCCAGACATTACGTTGACACTCACGTCATATACTACTTATAAGTAGCGCGCACCACAAGTTTATGAGCGAGAAATTGGCAAGGTCGAAAGATGTGTGTGTATACTAACTGGAGAATAACGGATCAACTGATTTGTTTGGAGGCCGGGACAAACTGTGTAGGCTCACTAATAATATGAATATACACGCATATTAGAATAGATTCAGTTAACATGAATTCGTAATACATTGCAGTAAATAATTCATAATAGCATCATTCACTTGTATAAAACTGTGAACAACTTTTCATTTTGTTAAAACGTGATAATATATATATATTCGAACATTAGGTTTAGATAGGTAACAAAAGCTAGAAATAACGTATATCATATACTCTGTAACATGGGGCCAATTTGTTTCGAATGTATATGTGACTATTCCTTGATGAATGAATCAATCAAGCCTGTGTGTAGTTAATGAATGAGTTAACCCATCCTTCTAGTAAACATTGTGTCATACTTGTCACCTACAACGTTATAAGTAATTGTATCAACGTGAGATTTTTTCTTACAGAAATTAGTCAGAAGTAGTGCATATATACAGATCTATCTGCATACAAGGTTTTGGTCAGTTGACCCCTTGTTAACAAGTTGAATTTGGAATCTTGGCGAAATCTAGACTGATCTTAAGAGTCACAGTATGAGATTTTAGAACTAACTACTCATAGAGTAATAAATTTCTGTTGTTATTTTGGAAATATTTATCAAAATAATTCTTTTTTTCTCTACAAATGTCAGGCATTCTTTTTATAAATCACCCATCTTCAACTGAGAATACTTTGAAGTTACAAAACGTTAAATAGGAGGAAGATTAGGCAAAAAATAAAATGTTTTGGTAACCACATAAAGTGGTTAATTGAACTGGTATTTATGCCTCGTTGTTTGATAAATACGATTACCGATTCGAATAATTTGTGTATTGTTGATTTGGTCTCGAAAAGGTCTACTTAATGCCTTAAGTTCAAAAACTTTGATCTGTTTCGTTATATATATATATATATATATATATATATATATATATAAGTAGGTAAGTATAGCTGTGGTGTGTTCTACTTATACGAACGATATAAGTAGTATAAGAAGGGACGTGAAAGAAGAAGTCTCACGGTCAGGAGAGGAAAATGGAAAACAAATGAAGCAAAAGCAAGAAGTAAATGGAGTATCAACAGGGAGGAAAGGAAGCAATAACAGGAATGGAAGAAGGATGGAGTGTTGGAAGTCACAACTCAAAGAGATGGTGTGCAAATAGAGTATTCAATGTAATGTTTTCGTTTTTAGCAGACTCAGACTGTGAATTTGGAAAATACAATATACCTGGCATGCCTCAGTCTTCTCAGTTCATGAAGCGTGATTCAGTTGCTGAGTGTGTGGTTTGTTAAAAGCCTGCGACACCCGGTATTCCCAGCCGGTCACCCATGCAAGTACTAACCGGGCCCAACGTTGCTTAACTTCGGTGATCGGACGAGAACCGGTGTTTTCAACGTGCTATGGTCGCCGACAACTGCACACTCACTCAAAATCCACATCAACACAAACAACACTGACACCAACAACAAACAGGCAACAACCGACTCAATCCACTGTGGTCGTCTGTCTGACAGATCGATCGATCAATCGGTGGTCATCGCACTACTTACTTCTCCACTAGTCACTCAGTCACTCATCATCAACAACAACACCAGATTATTCACCTAGTAGTCGGCGGCAATCACATGTCTAGTTGAGTGTGTTTGTTTATGTAAGTGGTTGTGGAGGTGTATGTGATGTTGTGAGTGTGTGTTTGTGGTTGTGACTGTATGGTAGGTAATGTAATGTTTGTTTGATGAATGGGGATAATTTTGATGGGTTGGTTGTGTAGAGGCGAAGAGGTGTGGTTAAAGAGGCGGTATTCGTGTGGACTGGTTGTATTGTATTGTATTGTATCTTCCGCGCCTGCCTCAGTCTTCTCATATATATATATATTTATATATGCGGAAACATGAAGAATTACCTAAAGATTCAAGTATTTATTAACAGTTGTCTACGCGAAATCCTAAGGATTCATTGGTCAGACACACAAGCTTTTGTTGGAAATAACAAACCAGATTTCCTGAGGAGGAGAAGAAAATCAGAAAGAAGCACTAAAAGTGAATAGGACACATTCAAGATAGCACATAACTGTGTGTCACATGAAAAGCTCTCATTTAGAACCTTCAAGATCAAAGGAGTGGATGAAGTCCAAGGAGTACATTACATGAAGAAATGGAGACAGACAGGAGAAGAATGAACTAAAAGTTGGACAGAACTGAAAAGGTAGGCTCAGGACGCACAGTATATTGTTGGAGAATACTGGTCATCGTCGTGTGAAGGCTAACAGACATAACTAGTTAAATAATTTGAACATTGATCCAATCTCCTTGTTCAATTATCAATCTCTTTGCATTCATTCATCATTAAAGTATTTTATTTGTTTTACTCAACTTTATTCCATTAACATTATTTCATTCATTAATAAAAATTAAATGATTCTTTTATCTTTCATTCTCTCTTATTATCAATATAGATTTATCTTTTCCAATATTGTAAATTTACTCTGGTTAGTTAGTTAGTTAGTTAGTTAGTTAGGAATTTAGATCTAAAACTAATTGTTAATTACTTTTTAAATAATTTTAAAACTAGACCAGCGAAAAAAAATTAAAAACAAAGGATGGGATATCGATATATTATATATATACCGTAGAGATATTACACACTATTAAGTAATTTTTTACTATTTCTACTTAGTAATAATATTACACAGTAGTCCATAAAAAAAAACACTTTTTGATGATATACCATTTTGTAGAAAGAAAAAAATAATAATTAGAGAATTACAACATAAACTTTGTTCTTTTTTATTTTTGTTCTGAGTCTATTTCTCTCAATTTTTTTTCCTACTTAAAGGTACTTTGGAGAGGGAGAGAGAGAGATGAGAACCTGATGCGTTTCTTTTTTTGTTTAAAAATACTCCGATTAATTTATTCAATGTTGAAGACAGAAAAAAAACCCACTCAGTTAAACTTAAACAAACAGTGAAAATAGAATTTGTTTTGTATAGATAAGTATATAAGTATATATATATACAGATAAAATTAAAATAACTCATTAATTGTTCATTTAAATTAAATTAATTACTGGAATTTTTAATTTTGTGTAATTGTTTGATTTAAAAAAAAAAGAAAAGAAAAAGTCTAAAATCTTTTGATAAAAATAACATTATCATTATTCTGATATGGGAACATTTTACAGAGAAGGGATAATTTCCCGTGATAAAATCATGTCTGTGTAATGAATTATGCACAGGTATTGATTTTTTTTTTCCAACGACACGTTGTCGTCTATGTTGGGGTAGATTGGTGGATGATACGATAGTGTATTGTGAAAAAACCAAAAAATTCTTGTTACAGAATGTAGGTAGGATCGAAACTGAGGTTTTTGGTGGATTGAGAGATAACTAACTGTCTAGGTAGGTTAGATATGCGCATCTTGCCCTGTTTAAAAGTGATTTGGGTAAATGACAGTGGTTCTAATATTCATCATAAATATGAATATACATCATTATACCTAAAAAA